CAAATGAGTGTACTCAATGAAGTTGAAGTCTGATGGCAGCTTTGGTAAGTAGGGGTGGCAATTGGGTGGGTTGGGTTGGGTTTGGTTTAGGTTGAGCTTCAACCCAACCCATCTAACCCACCAACCCATTAATGACCTAGTTATATAAAATTAAATGGGTTGGGTTCAACCCAAACCTGCTTTAACCCAATCCAACCTGCCTAAACCCATTAGTCTTATATTTATGGACTTAACAAACAAACTCTCTTAACAAATAAGTTGGTTATAGCTTGGTGGTAATTGTAGTTACTATTTACACAAGTGGTGAAGGTTCAAATCACATTACATTCATGTTATTTTTACACAAGTGGCGAAACCATTTGACTATGTTCAGATTTTGAGTTTGATCGAACCACTTAGGTTCAAACTGGTCAGACTAATTTGAACTATCTAATTGGATTATCTTCGAGCTAATCACATCAAGGGTGGTTGAACCGTTTAGATTTGGATCAATCCGGTCGGACCAAACCGAACCGGTTCAATCAATGGTGGATTGACTTGGACTAGACCATATCAGATTTGTGCACGGGTTTGGGACCGGATCGACTGACCCGAACTAGGTCAACATAAGCAAATTGGGTCAGTCTATGTCCGGGCCAGATTGTGTGGATATTGGTCAAACAGACGATCCAGACCGGGCAAAGCATGTGGACATCGAATCATCCCGCCCAAAACTATTTCAGGATTTGGGTTGACCTGGATCAGCTTGTGTTGGGTCAAGTCGGGCTGTGTGAATACTAGTTGGACTGGTAGACCTAAACCGAACAGAGCAAGCAGTACCGAACCATCCCGCCCGGGGTTTATTTCATATTTGGGTCGACCCATATTAGTATATGCTGGATCGGGATCAGACTGCATTGAACTAGCTCGAACTCGGGTCAAGTTGATTTGGATTTATGTTGGGTAAAGTGTGTTGATTCAAGACAAAACTAAATTTAGTCAACAATTAATAGAAAATTAATGCATTAATTATAAATTATTTAATTCAAATGAAGAAAATTAAAAAAAAAAGGCTAAGGAATTAATACTTATGTAGATCTGTAATGGTTAACCCAATGGTTATCCACAACCCAACCCAACCCAACCCATTTAAATGGGCGGGTTAGGTGATGGGTTGATCATACAACCCGCCAAGTAAATGGGCGGGTTAGATACTGGGTGGGTTAGGTGGGTTCAATGTGTTGGGTGAAAAATTGCCACCCCTATGAGCAGGTATAAGGATAAAATTGTTGCATAGGGGTACGAGCAAGAAAATGGGATAGACTATGAGGAAACATTTGCCTTGGTAGCCAAGATGACAACTGTTTGTATTCTGTTGGCCATTTCTGCACTCAAGAATTGGGTTGTTCATCAAATGGATGTCAAGAATGCTTTCTTGCATGGGGATTTGGAGGCTATGTACATGAAACCTCCTCTTGGGTATTGTAATGAACCTCACCTTATTTGCAAACTCAATAAATCCTTTTATGTCCTTAAATAGGCCCCTTATGCTTGGTTTGAGAAGTTTAGATTTATGGTTACTGATGTTGGATTCGTTTAGAGTTCCTTAGACTATTCTCTCTTTACATCTTAGAGTTCTCAAGGGAGTATATTATTGCTCTTATATGTTGATGATGTTCTCATAACTAGTGACGATCAAGATGGTATACAATTCAAGCACCTCCTTATCCAATCCTTTACGATGAAAGATCTGGATCTAGTTACATACATATTAGGCTTGGAAGTTCATCATAATTTCAGTGGCTAATTTCCTTAATTAGCAGAAATATGCCACCGCTCTTGTCAGCCTTGCCCATCTTACTGATACAAAAGTTGTTGATACTCTCTTAGAAGTCAATTTGAAACTAAGCAAGGATGATGGCCCTCTTCTTGAAGATGCCACCTTGTATCATTAACTTGTGGGAAGCCTTATGTATCTCACAATGACTTGCCTAGACATCTCATATGCAGTTCAGATAGTGAGTCAATTTGTTTATACTCCATGCCAATCTTATATGACAATTGTACACCATATCATCAAATATATCTATGGAATAGTTTCTTATGATGTGTTTTTCCCATCCACCTCTTTATTTCAACTCTTTGCATATGTAGATGCTGGGCTGGTTGTCCAGACACCAGAAAATCTACTATTGGATGGTGCATATTTTTGGGTGATTCTCTTATTTCATGGAAATGCAAGAAGCAACATACTATTTTCAAGTCGCCCACTGAAGCAGATATGGCCATGTCCTCAGTATGTAGTGAGATTATTTGTCTCTAGTCACTTTTACATGATTTGAAGGTTGCTTAGTCCTATCCTATTCCCTTATTGGTTGACAATCTAAGTGCAATCAAAATTGCTTCTAATCATGTCTTCCATGAAAGGAGGAAGCACATTGAAGTGAGAGTTGAATAGTAATTTCATTGCCTCATGTAATACCATAGTAATCATAAGAGATTTCCTTACTTTAGTTGCATTTCATTGCCTCATGTACCATTTAATCTTCAACTAACAAATATTTTCACAAAAGTTATGATTAGGGCCTGGCATTCCTTTCTCATGGATAAACTGATGATGGTGCCCCTTCATCAGTTTGAGGGGAGTATAGAGATAGAGATAGTGATGGCTGAATAGTAATTTTACTTTCTTGTTGTATCATTGTTTTTCTATTCTTTATTTCTTATACATTACGCATTGTGTTATAAGGATAGAAGTGTCATTTTACATTCTTTAATATAAATAGTTCTTTCCTGGTGTGGTCACCCTACTTACACACCCCAAATCTGTGTTCTTTATGTTGTTCGAACTGCACTAACAGTCCCATCCCCATTGACAATTAAACTTTCCTCTTCGTTGTCTTCATGTGATATCTCAATATTATCATCAGTTTGTAGATTAAGAGTAGGTTTTGACTTTTGATTTATCCAAGCATCAATCCATAGCCTACATTTTTTCCCATGACCTATTTTCCATTTAACACTTTTCTTTAAATTGTGTATCTTAACAATGCTACAAGTATTTTGATAACTTTAATGTCTTTGCTACTGAAAAGCGAATGGAAAAGAGGAATTTGCTCTTTTTTCAAAACTATGGGGGATGGTTTTGTTAATTAGGTCAAAACACAATGGTGGTTTATATAAAATTGTTATTAGATGAAGCTTTTATAGTTTTAGCTAAAAATAATAAAAAATAATAACAAACCAATAAAATTTAAAAATTAATAAAAAATAACATTAAGATACAAAAGATAATACAAATTTATTTAGAGCATAGGAAATTGGCCATTCTATTAAAGTGCAACTTGGATTGTGATTGGATAAACTAGACATAAAAAGCTAATGCCTGAATTGGGCTTAGTTGGGCACATACTGCTTAATTGGAAATGTCATAGAGCTCATAACACAATTTTGCTTAATATGCATGGGTCCCAACTAATTAATATGAAAATGTAATGGAGAGAAATTAGTGAGACATGTTACAACAATAATTAATTCAAGGAAATTAATGTTGTACATAACGAAGAGAAATTAGAGAACGTTTTCTTAGGAGAAATGGGAAAGAGAGGGGTTTGACATGGCGTTAAAGAAAGGGCTAAGAAGGAGAGAGAGAGAGGAGAATGCAAGAAAGAGGCAAGAGAAAGGAGAGGGCGGGTTTACCACTTCCTTCTAATATAGTATAAATATGTTTTACAATATGTATCATTTTTTTGAGCTAAAAAAAATGCATCTATTCATTTATAAGAAGTAGGCAAGTCATTTACAGGTGCTTTGAATTGAGCAAGCAAACCTTGCAATTTGAGAGTTCAAATTGTAATACACGTCCCCGTTGTGTATTGGTAACATCTCCCCATGATAATATCAGGAATGGTGATGTCATCATCAGGAGATGTTCTCAATACATGGCGGGGGTGTGATGTGGGATGTTGTGGGGGCAGTCTTGTGGGGAGCTGATTCGGTCTCGCAATTTGATTAGAAACTTGATTAAATTCTCTTTATGCATAGGGATAGCAATTTCTACCTTATGTAGTGGGTATCTGTCCCTATTTGCCCAAGTGAAATTTGGGGCGAAAACAGGTTTTGGGATTTTACAACTTGTACAGGTATGGGTACAATATAGTATTAGGCTAAACCTGACCCTCCCCGACATGCATATTGTTGATACTTTACATATATTTTCTACATGCTTTAGTTAAATAATTAGAAATTTTATATTTGTCCATATTATTAATTACTTGTATCATAGAAAATAATAAGAAACCCTCTCATAGGAGGGGTTGGATTTTGAGTACTGATTTTGGAAAAGGTATAAAGTGGGAGATCTTGAAATATGAATAAAATTTAAAATTTACAAAACCCTCTCAAAAGTCAAAACCCACCTCATTACCATTTCTGTATATAGCAGCATTCTGCACGTCAAGAGTACAGATGAATAATTCTCATTTTAATTTTAGCCAAGGTGGTGATTTGCTTATTTCAATAATTCTCATTTTAATTTTAGCCACTTTTATCAATTTTTTTTTTTACCGATTAATCATTTTCATCATTGACGACAATAATTCCCATTTATTTATACGGTGAACATTCTAAAAGACATGTCCAAACTTTTTTTGCATTTTTTATATTGTTTATTATTTAATTTTTAATTTAGATATCATTGATTTGCTTATTTCACTCGAACGTTGAACCCAAGGTTTTAAAATCAGACCGAATATGAAACCATTTTGAGGACCAGTTCCCAGGTTGAACGGTCCACCGTCCTATTATCTGAGTTGACGGTTCAACCATTTAGGTCAGCGGGTCGCTGACCAAATTTGGTCCGGCCGTCCGATCCGATTTTCAAAACCATGGTTGAACCTCTGACCCAGCACCTTCGAGGGAGAAGCAGTTCTGCTTCCCGGTCCTGTTTTTTTACTTACCGGGTTGCCGGGTTGGTTGGTAAGAATACCGCAGCCGCAGGTATGAATTTCATTTGGCACGAGTGTTTGACCAAATTCAAGCCTCCCCCACCTACTTTCCCACCCACGTACCCTTCGTCCCTCTCTTCCTTCCTTCATTCAAGTTTCAGCAAACAATGGTAGGTACTGCGCCAAGAAAACAGATTCAGAGAGAGAGAGGACTTCTCTTGTAACCAAACCTTTCTCTCTCTCTCTCTTCCAACCCCCCTTAGTACTCCATGGCTGCATCTGCAACAGCTCCTCCAGCTCTTCGTTTCTCTCTCAAACCCTCCATTGATTCCTCTGTCAGTCGCTCCGAGACATGTGATCCCTTTCCTCGATGCCGGAACCGCGATCTTGTCTCACTCCGGTCGTCCTCTGTTTCACATGGTTTGTCGCGGTTCAACCGAGTAAGCTCCCCTGTTCTGAAATTCGATGGAATTCGATCCAAAGTCATGGCCAGTTCAGTTCCAGCCGTGGATAAGTCCCCGCTTAAGAAAAGCTCTAGGCTTTCCACGATTGTTGATGTTGATTTGGGGGACCGAAGCTATCCAATTTATATCGGTTCCGGCCTTCTTGAGGAACCTGATCTTCTTCAGAGGTAATTGACTATTTAACTTACTATCTTGTACGTTTGGATTTGGGTTCGCGTAAAAATTGGTAGTTTTTATTCAATTTTTATTTCTCTATACAATTGGAATCAGGATCATCCAAAAATCTGGTCTTTATTGTTCTAATGTGAGTTCAATTGTTTTTTCTTTTCATTTGATCGCCTTTGTAGTCAAAATGCTGTATTGTTCTTGTTTTTATCTTTTAAAGGTCACTTAGTAGTAAGTGCAATAGCTAGAAGTTGTTATTCATGGCGTGAATTACGAAAATAAAATGAAAGTGATTTAAAATATATAAGAATGCAAGTTGGTGAAAATTCGCTCCTATGGTATAAGGTTTGTGGGTTCAGATATTTCTCTGTTATTTAATGAGGAATTTTTCATGAGGAGAGTTGTCGTGTTCTGTGTTCACTAGCACCACAATAGTCTGTATATAAATGCCATCAGAAATGAATTTTATTTGTAATTTGGATTATATGTGCATTGCGTTAGTAACTTGCTCATATGTATATGGTTTGTTGATTTAAATGTGTATTTTCTTACTTTATCAGGCATGTCCATGGGAAGAGAGTTCTTGTGGTCACTAACACCACAATTGCACCACTGTACCTCGATAAAGTCATTAATGCTTTGACTTGTGGAAATTCTAATATTTCAGTTGAGAGTGTTATTTTACCGGATGGAGAGAAGTATAAGAACATGGTAAGTTGTTTGAGCATTTCAGTGACCATTTTACTCTTAAGATATGGTTGCCATGGTTAACATATGTGGCTTGTTTTTTGTTGATAGGATACTCTCATGAAGGTCTTTGACAAAGCCATTGAATCTCGGTTTGACCGGCGCTCTACATTTGTTGCCCTTGGAGGTGGTGTTATTGGTGACATGTGTGGATTCGCTGCTGCTGCTTTTCTTCGTGGAGTAAACTTCATTCAGATACCAACTACTGTAATGGCACAGGTCTGTTTTAGGTCCTGTCTTTTTTCATTTTTTGCCAACTACATACATCTCTTTAATGTTTGAAATGACTTTGTCCAGGTAGATTCATCTGTTGGAGGAAAAACAGGAATAAATCACCCACTTGGAAAAAACTTAATCGGTGCTTTCTATCAGCCCCAGTGTGTCCTTATAGACACAGATACATTAAACACATTACCTGATAGGGAATTGGCTTCAGGGTTTGCAGAAGTTGTGAAATATGGGCTTATTAGGGATGCAGAATTTTTTCAGTGGCAAGAGAAGAACATGCAGGCACTATTAGCAAGGTATGCTGAAACAGTATTTCATTATCCTTCAATGTTTATCCACTCCAATAATCTCCTAATGATTGTGGATATGTTAATGTGATAGCATTGCTGCATGATTCCTAGAAAAATTTATACTGGATTTCCCTTTCTTCAGATTTTCATAGGTTAGTTTTTTGGTTCCTTGCTAAGGCACTCTAAGAAACAAGTATTGGATTTCTGGCAGGGATCCAAGTGCACTTGCCTATGCTATAAAACGTTCATGTGAAAACAAGGCTGAAGTTGTATCTTTAGATGAGAAAGAAAGTGGACTAAGGGCAACACTTAACTTGGGTCATACATTTGGCCATGTAAGTTTTGAATTATTACTGTTATTGCTGTTTCTGGTATGGTTATAATCTGTTTCATTTGCAATCTAACATGTATATTTGATTGTTCTTGCTAACTTTTTGAAAGACCATAAAGATATATATTCAATTAGTAGAAAAGGATTTATTTTTCCTAATTTGTTGTAAATTTGTAACTAAAGACAATTAGCTTGAGATTTTTCCTCAAAGCTAGTAGTACTTAGGCAAATCCTTTTGTTTCCTTGTTAACATGATAGACTGACATACTAGTTAATGTGATATAAAAATATCTCCTTGCTACAATATACAGACAATAAAAGAAACCAGTGAAGATCTGGATGCTCTTCAATTCTACCACAACTGACAGTTTTACAAAATGTTTTAGCTGACCCTATATAGTTGGGACAAGGCTTGGATGATGATGATGATGATGATGGTTTTACAAATGTTTATGAATTACACTTCAATTCTTAAAACTCCAACAGTTTTACTCCTGCATGGCTGGCTCTCTTCACAGAGGTTTGTGAAGGAAAAAAAAAAAAAACTGCTTTTAGATATATTCCATTGCCTTCTTAAAGAGAGAAGTTCAGTGTCTATGCAGAACCATCCAGGGGGTTTGTTCCTCAAGTTGATTTTGTTTTTGATACATTTTAGTGGAGTTCTTGGTTTTAGGGTTTGTCATCAATTCATCACTTGTTGGTCTTTAACTAGAGCCGGTTTGTAATGGCTAATTACTAGGATTGCACTGCTTCATTGGTTTGAGATTTTCTTGCATACATAGCCCCTCAAAAGAAGAGGACTACCCCAAAGAGGTTATGTAGTTGGTATATCAGAGGATCCCTCTGAGCAAGATGTTCTCTCTGGAAGCTTAGAATTTACTGATGACATATTCAAGTTCCATGGGTCAGAAGACTCATTCCTCATCCATCCACCAACCTTAGAAACACCTTCTACCTCAACATGCTCAAAATGCAAACTCATGAACTCGGATTTTGGGGGGGGAGTCCTCCTGTGGAATTAACTTTCTGCAAATGGAAAAGCTATCACTTACCTGCCATTTCTGATTACTGTAAAGCATTGAAATGCCAGCAACCTTTGTCTTCCCTACCATCTAGTGAGCTGCTCTGATGGTAGTTGTTTCGAATGCTGCTACAGTAACTCGAAACCAGGAAGAGAAGGAAGAAGAAGAGGAAGAAGAAGAGAAGAAGAAGAAAGAAAATAAGGGTCTGTCGAAATCTGATGGTCTTTTTTTTTTGATGAATAATAAGTTTATTGATTCAGAAGCAACTTTAGAGTGAGTTCATACATCATCCCAACGAGAGGCACGAGCTGCAGCCCCTCCTTGAGTCTTACAAGTAAACTAGGAAAGAAAAACAATAATCACAACTGAGCCCAAAATAATTCTTCCCTATTTACCCTTTGCTTAGCTAACACATCTGAC